CTATCGATCACCCAATAGTCCAGAGGGTGTAGAGTTACCTTCCCCACAGCTGCTGGCTCCTCAAAGCCTTCATCCTTCTCTGGACCAGTCGGTACTTGCGTCGACACGAAGTAGAATAGACCCGGGTACCGATCGTTGCTCGGGTCCTTGTCGTTGTCTCCGCTCTTCATGTTTGCAGCTCCGCCACCGCGACCGCCACGGCCTCCACGGCCTCTTCCTCTCCCTCCTCCTGCTCTTCTACCCTCTTGGCCTTGAGCAGGGGTCCAACCATCAGGAAGTTTGTAGCAGTCGCGCCACATGTGTCCGCTCTTGTGGCAATAGTGACACTCGACGTCGAATCGGCCGCGACCGCGTCCGTAGCTCTTGTCGTCGCTGCCGTAACCGCCACTCCCGCGGCCTCCGCCGAAGTTGCTGCCACCAAACCTTCCTCCCCCTCGTCCTCTACCTCTTCCTTGACCATATCCACGGCCGATGCTCGCTGCCCCAGCGCCATCCGCACTCGCCAACTCACGGCGGCGGAAATCCTCTTGAAGGATAGCTCGCTTCACGTCTTCAAGCGAGAGGCGGGGCAAGTCGCGATTAAGGTTGATGATGAGCGAGGACCATGACTCAGGGAGTAGGGCCAGCAACTTGGTCTTCTTTTGGAGCTCACTATAGTTCAAATCAGCTCCCTCAAGCCGCGTCAACAAGTCGAAGAATTTCTGCACCCCTTCTTCAACCGCTTCATCCTCTTCAATTCGTAGTGTCGCCATTTGCCGTTCCAACACCACAGCTACCGCCGCTGTTGCAGGAGCGTGTACACCCTTGAGAGCAGCCCATGCCTTTGGTCCCTTCTCAGGTTCATGTTGGAAAGGCTTGATGTGACGGATTTGGCTGCTCCCCAACGCTTGCCCAAGTAGGAGGTAGCCTTGTGCGCTCTTCCGCACCCACGGGCTCTTCTCCGGGTCGTTCTCGGGACGCTTCTCCGTTCCTTCCATTACCTCCAGCAGATCATAGTGGTCAAATATGTTCTCCATTCTGAAGGACCACTCAGCAAAGTTGTCACCATTGAACTTGTCAAGGCCAAACACTCTAGGCTCATCCCTAGATGGGCCAACACTTGGTTGCACAGGCGCCATGGCTGAATCACGGGGTTGGCCTTGAGCTTGGGCTTCTCCTCTGCCACCAACACCTCTGCCACCCCTTTCCTCAGGTCCAGCCATTGTCGAAACTGCTCCAAGGGGCTCTGATACCACTTGTTATAGTAACAGTAGGCTCCAATGTGCCTAAAACGAAAGATAGAGTGCATAGTCGGATTTCTGCACAGCGGCTTCAAACGTTCATAGCGTTCTGGTCACAACATCAAATGTCTTGATTCAACTTGGATCTGGAGCGTCTTATTGTTGCCTACACTATGCAATTTAGATCGCACGATTTGACCAAGTATTGACGACACAACGTCGGTTTGAACGAACAGCACTATGGCAGCAACATAGTCTTAGAACACAAGATAGGAAGAGTTAGGAAGAGTTACGAGTTGGGAATGACTCCCAGCTCCTACAAACCCCAAGAGCCGAGGTACAGTGATGTGGAACAGTGCCACACTGTCCCCAACCACGAAGGGTCTCGAAACTACTCTTCACTAGGGCCTACACCAAGTGAAATGTTACACTACACAAAGTAATGTAACTATCTTCAATATCTTGAGGTGTACCCTTTTGGCGAGCTTCGAAATCACTTGAGGCTTGACACCAAGGCTCGGGCTCTTCATCACAAACTCATCCTTGACTTCTTGATGGGTCTTCTACACACACCTGCGACACGCCGAACGTTCGACACAGGACAAAATAGAAACCGCGCACGACAAAATAGAAACCGCGTGCGAGACACAAACGACCGCGTAACACGCGTCTAGCGATAACTCGCTATTGACTCGACACACACACTCGACATCATGACTCAACATTCACACACAATTATAAGCATGAAATATATATTATCCCATGCCCTCATACCATTCCATACACACACACATGCACGCACACGGACAACAAGCCGAGTGCAAACCGTAGGGTTGCACCAACAAACTTCCCCTCGGATTGTTGGCCTTAGGATATGTTGCTCTCTCAGTTCAGAGCCATCCCAGCCAGCTTGCAACACTTCCAATGCTGCTGCTAATCGACACTCGCCATCAAGGTCTTAGCACTCTTGTACTGACTAAAGTGCGCACGCTCAGTGGTCGGTAAGTGGCGACGTACAGCAAGACGGGCAGCAGCATTGCGTGTAGCCTACTGTGAGCGAACAGTGCTGTCAGCATCAGCAGGCGGGGCAGGAGAGGCACCAGAGGTGAGATCGAACAGGGAGAGTCCGTTTGTCCTATCGCAGTGTATGAAGAGCTGTAGGTCATCGACCCAGACCTCAAAGTCAACAGCACGACCCTCAACATCAAAGGTAAGGACACTGGGGGTAGCCATGACAGCAGTGGTCTAGCAGGGAGTGCTCTCACTAGTCCGGGTGGGTAGGGCCGGGGCGCGCCGGTAGGAACAGGGCTGCAACCGCGGTGGCAGCGGCTCGATTGCAGCTCGGCGGCAGCGGTTTGGTAGTGGCGGCTCGACGGCGGCCTCGGCGGCTCGGCGGCTCGGGTGCTTGGCGGCTCGGCGGCTCGGTGGTTCGGCGGCTCGGCGGCTCGGCGGTGAAGGGGCCGGGGAGGGGCCGCTAGGGGCGGCGAAGGGGCCGCAAGGGGCGGCGACGGGGCCGCTAAGGGCGGCGACGAGGCCGCAAGAGGGCGGCACCGGGGCCGCGAGAGGGCGGCGACGCGGCCGTGAGAGGGCGGCACAGGGGCCGCGAGAGGGCGGCACAGGGGCCGCGAGAGGGCGGCGACGGGGCCGCTAGGGGCGGAGACGGGGCCGCTAGGGGTGGCGACGGGGCCGCGGAGGGCGGCGACGGGGCCGATAGGGGCGGCGGCGCGGCCGCGAAGGGCGGCGACGAGGCCGCTAGGGGCGGCGACGGGGCCGCTAGGGGTGGCGACGGGGCCGCGGAGGGCGGCGACGGGGCCGCTAGGGGTGGCGACGGGGCCGCGGAGGGCGGCGACGGGGCCGCTAGGGGCGGCAACGGGGCCGCGAAGGGGCCGCGAGGGGCCTCGAAGGGCGGCAACGGGGCCGCGAAGGGCGACGACAGGGCCGCTAGGGGCGGCGACGGGGCCGCTAAGGGCGGCGACGGGGCTGCTAGGGGTGGCGCGAGGGGCCGTGAGAGGGGCCTCTAGAGGGGCGCGACGGGCCTCTAGGGGCAGGGGACGCAACGAGAGGGCGGCCCACGGGGCGCGCCTCGGGCAGGGGCGACTCGCGCTTCGGTCAGAAAAAAAAAAAAAAATCAGTGGTGGGCCCAAGGAAGCGTTCCCACTAGGGAACCTGCTCTATACCATGTGAAGAAATGAGGAAATGGAATGACTAGGCAAAATGTGGGTACAAGTAGGAAACCTAGAAATGTTGTACCCTATAGTATCTACCCCACTACAGCCTAGATAGACTATAGCATATAAACTTGACATTCGGCTGGAATTTGCCTGCATGGCAACGCATCCTGCTGTGATTGGACCGCACGGCAGGATTTGCGTCAGCAATGGCAGGAAAGTTTCCACCCCCTTCTAGAGGATTCGGGTGGAATCGACTGCCATGAGGCACATGACAATGCGATTGGGCCGTACGGCAGGATGCGAGTCAGCAAAGGCAGGTGCGCAGCTTCTGGACGTGAATGTGTGGTGGGAAACCGAGTCGCGGTTGATTTCCCCTGCATTCCGTGCACGATCCCATGTGAACGAACGTTCGGCTGTGTTCACCTTAAGGAGAGCTTCGATTTGGTGCCTTTAGAAATTAATTTCATTTTCCCGTCTTATAAGTGCATGCGCTTATGCCCGTTACTCATTTACAAGCGCCCCCCCTAAAAAAAACTGACTTTATTATAAGCGCATATGCGCTACTATCCGGGGTAATACGGTAGTTACATCTGTTGGTGGTGCACTATTTTTCAGTGGCTTGTTATACGGAACTCATCTCTCCCTCACCAAGTAGGGATGACCCTCGACTCGATATACAACTACGGTACTCTCTTGCAGTTAAGTGCAGTCACCCCCACCCTCCTGGCACACTAATCTGCCCCGTGATTCCACATCCAATTCACGTTCATCAGCGCGGTCGGTTACACGGCTGTGTACTCGTTTTTGGGAGGCGGCATGGGGCGTGTGGGGAGGGGGGAGTGGAGTGGAGGTGGAGAGGAGGGTGGGTTGGGATGAAAGGGGATGGTGGTGGGGGAAGGGGAGAGAAGGGAGGTGGGATGGGGAGTGATGGGAAGGGGAAGGAGAGGGGGAGGGGAGGGGAGGTGGTGATTGCCACCAGACCAGACTGTCCTCTGGAATGGGGTGGGGACCAAGAGTTTTTTTGCCACATACGGTACAGTCCACTCGTCTAGTTAAAGGTACGGTAAATTCATGCATATGGGGACGCGTGTCCCTGGGCTCAATTAATGTAACATGTCTTTTGAAGCGAGAACACAGATGATACAGAACACCAGGCCAACAGGATGTGAAATGCACCAGGTCCAAGCGCATACCGTAGTACCGTACCTTATTGCGGTCTATTGTACTGGCGATGAACAAGTTCATGAACCTTGCAGGCACAAAGACTACGGTACCGGTACGGTACCGTAACAAACACTCTGACAAAGCAAAACGCCACAAATAACGACACTCGGACCACTAGGAGAACAATACCAAAACCACTAGCCACGCCCTGACCTGCTCTGCTCCTCCCCAATCACGCGGCCTATACCACTGGAGACGCTTCAAAGGCCCGGAGGTGCCAAGACATCATGCCTTTGAGAAAGTCGCTCCGCACACTGCTGGTGAACAACGAAGAAGGCTGACGGCCCCCCGGGGGAACCAACGTGTGTGTGTACGTGCCCTGATGCGCCTCCTTGGCCAGCACCTTGACCGCCTCACTCGGTGTGCCATAGAAGTAACACAGCTCCTAGCCCACGGAGCCAATAGCCACCACGTTGTGCTTGCGCCGCCAGTCATTCCATTGGAACACTGCAGGGACCCGGGCACGCGGGGCAGGGGAGAGGCGAGTGCATGGATAGGCTGGCACACAAGGGCACGGGCTCATGCAAACAAAAACCAGCGTGGCTTTTGAGTCGACTGAAAGGTCACCTACGTGGTGCAGCGGAGAGACGAGTGAACGGATAGGACAGTACACTATACAACGGCGCGGGTTTATGCACACGAAAACCACCGTGGGAAACGGGGTGGAGAGAGATGGGGCTTGGGGTTATATGGAGAAATGAGGTGGGAAAATGGATGGAGAGAGAGATTGGTGCTGGGGGTTATAGGGAGAAGCGAGGAGGAGAGGGGGTGGAGAGAGAAGGGGGGGAAAGGAGAGAGAAGGCAAGGGGGGTGAAGAGAGAAAGAGAGAGATCGAGAGAGAGGGAGGGGGGGAGGGGGGGGTTGGAGTGAAAAGGAGACAGGCGGCAGCAAAAGATTGAGCAACAGGAGCAAGAGGAGCAGGAGCAGCAGCAGGAGAAGGAGCTGACCAGCTGTGTCACCATAGCTGAGACGGGGTGGGCACCACGTCTTCACACTCGCATCCCAGCGCTTGAACCTCCACCCCACTACCACCGTCTTGGCATCCTGCCGGTACAGAGGGGAGGAGAGAGCACGAGAGAGAGCACGAGAGAGAGCGCAAGAGAAGAGAATTTATAGCAGACTTAAAAGGCACCCACGTCTTCACAATGGAATCCCATCCCAGCACCGGAACCTCCACCCAACCACCACCGTTTCGGCGCCCTGCCGCTCACACCAGGGGAGGGAGCGAGAGAAGCAAGAGGGCATACGAATTGGCAATTTGTTAGCAATATCAAGAGCATAGGTTGGTGGGTTCACCGTGGGGTGGTGCATGGGGTTCCGCGTGGGTAGTGCATGGGGTTCCGCGTGGGTGTGGACGCGAAATAAGCAATTCTGAAACGGGCAAGTTGGATGGCAGGAAAATGGGGCTCACTGTAAGGGAGGCAATGCGGATGGCGGTCCACGGAGTGTCCAGCGAACATGCCAGCACAACACCGCACAGCGCATCATCGCACATCACAACACCGCACAGCACAGCACAACACCGCACAGCACAACACCGCACAGCACGACACCACACAGCACATTACCTCACAGCACAACACCACACGACACAACACCGCACAGCACAACACCGCACAACACATCACCGCACAGCACAGCACATCACCGCACATCACATTACCTGCAAAGCACAACACCGCACAACACAACACCGCACAGCACATCACCGCACAGCACAACACCGCACACCACAACACCGTACAGCACAACACCGCACAGCACATCACAGCACAGCACATCACCGCACAGCACATCACCGCAGAGCACAACACTGCACAGCACAACACCACACAGCACAACACCACACAGCACATCACCGCACAGCACATCACCGCACACCATGTTGCTCAGGGCGCGGTGAGGGACGTGCTCAAGGTAAATGCTTGATATAGAATTGTAAGGTTCAAAGCCCTGCTCGCTGGTAGCATGCCGCTTACCTGCGAGGAGGAGCAGCAGTAGCAGCAGGATGGGGAGACGGATGGGGCTCGACTTTACGGACGCCATCAAACAGGCTTGGCAGTAGTAGGTTTGCAGTAGGCCCGGAGGTGGTTCCGGAGGCAGGTCCGGCAACGGCAGGTCTGGGATTAGTAGGTGGTGTGATCGCTTAAAAAGAGCCTTGGATCGACGAGAAGCGGCGCCTAGAACGCAGCAAGCGGCGGCGCCTTCAATGCAGCAGTGGGACCTGATTACATTTGTGGCGAGAGTAGAAGCTGTCTACGAAACTAGTGCGTAGAGCATCAGCTGCTTGCTTGCTTGCACCAGCCCTTTTGTACGGCTGGCGCGGGACGGGGTCGTCGGATGACAGCTTAAGCTGCGCGGCAACGTTCACCGGCAGGGAGTGAGCCGGGTTTGACGCCGGCATCGAGCATAAGAGAAATAGCCTATTGGTAACGACGACCAGGTGCAAAACCCGGGAGAGAGGCTCGGCCTGGAGTGATGCCCGGCCCGGGGAGCAATGTCATAAAACATGGCGGCCGCCGCCAAGGAATAGTCTGCCTCGCCCCTTAGCACGTCCTGACCAGACACGTGTTTGTACGGCACACCCTCCCTGCCCCGTAAGACTCACAGCATGCATCAGCCATGCGCAACCCGCAGCCCGTTAGCGCACGCACGCAGCCGCGCAGGCGCTTCTGCCCGCACGCAACCGCGCGCATGCCACTGCACACACCCTGCTGCTTGCGCACTCCCAGCTGCCTGCGAGTGCAGCCTGTCCCAGCCCTAGCCCGTCGCGCCTGCATCCCTGCTCTCACAGCGGCCACTTGCACAGCGCCAACAGCACATGCGCCTGTCGGCGCACTAGAACCTGCTCTCCAACTCGTCTCGCACCCACGCCCGTTGCCCCATACGTACCTACTGCCATCGGCGTTCCCCGCGGCGGCTGGCAGAAACAGTTGCCCTTCTTATGGTAGATTAGGGTCAGTACCTCTTTGTGTCTCGCGTCTCTAGACTAGCCTCTCTGGCTCTCCTCGCCGCTTGCTCCAACCATTCCTAGGCTCGCCCCCCCCCCCCCGGCTTTGCTCGTCTTGTGCTTCGTTCGCTCGCAGCTCGTTGCTCCCAGTCTCGTCGAACACTAGGCATGACAGTCCCACGCCCTCTACTTTTCGATGCGGAGGGTAGGGCACTAGAGTTCCCCACCTAGCTCCTCCGCACAGAGTTGTACCTACATTTGCCAATGCTAGGATGGCAACACGTTCTGGGCGCAGGTCTTTGGTGACCTGCGTTCGCCTCCTCGCCTTCGTGACCTGCCTGCGGAGCCTACATTGCCCACATTGCCCTGTCGGTGTGGTAGTCTCGTGATGCTGCAACTCGTATCGCCCTCGGCAACCTTCTCCCCAAATCTGAGGAGGCACACTTCAGCCAGGTTCGATCTGCCCATCCCTGTTTCGCTGTAATTAAGACCCGTTACTCCACTCCCTGCTCCGCCTCGCTCGGTCGCCTCTTCATGTTGTTACTGTTTCTTGACCTCGGAACGTTTGCATGCACACCTGACCTTATCACCCACCTGTGCTCGCCTGACTCTAGTTTCCGTGCTTCTTACATTGAGGCTGAGCTTGCAATCCCCCCAGTGCCAATGCCTATCATTATTCACTTCACAGCCTTTTGCCTCCCTGACCGCCTTACACTTGTACGAGGCGCGCTTCTCCGGAAGCACCCAACTATGCTCACTATCGACGTCCTTGAGTCAGCACCCAAGGAGATCGAGAGCAACAAACGCTCCGTTGCCGCTGCTTCTAGCGCCGTAGTTCCCCCGGTATTTCAGGAATATACTGTTCCACAGCTCCCCACCTTTAATGCTTTTCTTGCATGTACTGTGTCTCTTGCTTTTGACGAGACTGCAGCCGTGTCCGTTGCCGGGGGCAAGGGAGGTAAGAAAGGGAGAAGGGGTGTTGGCGTCGGTGGTGGCAGAGGGTGTGATGTAGGGGGTCGCGGAGGTGGGGTCAATACTAGCGCGTCGAATGGAGGTGGTACTGATGGTGGCGCTGGGCCTGTGGGCCTAACTCGAGGGGGTCCTGGAGCAGTTGTTTGGTGCGCGCGGCGGCAGCACAGTAGCTGCAGGCCTAGCAGCAGCAGCCACACCAGGGACCGCAGCAGCAGTAGGGACAGCCGCAGCCACAGGGACAGCCGCAACAGCAGGTTCCACGGCAGGTACAGCAGCAGCCCCAGCAGTGGGGATCTGGTGGACCTGGGGGCGCTGGGCATGGCAGTGGCTCGTCCACCTGGGTGTCCCGTGGTATTCCACCTTCATTGTGCCAATACCTTATCCAGACTGGGACACCTAGCAGTCACCCCAATGACCGCTTTTACCCTCATGGATGGTGCTTTGCGCAGCTCACGACCTGCCTTCGCGCAGAGTATGGTGATGGCCCCTTTTTGGACTGCGCCCTGCTCACTTGTTCTCTTGGTCCGTCGTTGTTTCAGATGCCTGCAGTATTTTTGTTTGGTGCGGTGCAATCTGCCTCTGTGATGTGTGCTGATGTGGAAGTGCTGTTGGATCTGTTTGCTCGCGTGCTGGTGTTCTATATTCTTGGCGTGTTTGTATAGGTGCTTGTTCTAACCAATGTGCTTATATAGCTACTAGCCCATGTGCACCTTCGGCTGAGGCGTCGCTGTCTTTCATGCTGGACTCTGGTGCATCTAATGCTTCTTTCTCGACCACACGACTCTCAGTCTGCTCTTTGCTTCGGTTACGGTTGTAGTGGCTGATCCTATTTCAGGACCAGCAGTTGCACGCAGCTCTACCACCCTCCCTCTATCCAGCTGTTCCCTCTGATGTCCTCAATGGTTTTCACATCCCTCCGTTCTCCAAAAACTTGGTAGGTGTTGGATACCTTCAGGACCGCCACATCAGCGTCTGTATTTCCTCCAACTGAGCGTGATGGGACCTGCGTCGACGGTAACACCTATGCTTCACTGGCCACGTTTAGCCGGGGGGGCAGTCTGTTCCGATCTCTTCACACCGCACACTTCGTCTTCCCAGGTAGCTGTGTCCGGTCAGGTTGGTAAGTCTTGCTCCTATCGGTCGCTCACCCATCCGACAGTCCTGTGGCACCGGATAGTTAGCATGCACCGAATTCTATGCTTTTCGGTTGCCTCCGAGAGCCTTCTACCGAATTCGGGAAGAACCATTTCGGGACGCTTCGCAACCCGCGGAATCTTCGAGTAACACCCGGGTTACTGGCCTTGTGTCGAGCCTATATATAGCCTCGTGTTGTATCCATGTGATCATTTATTATTTATGAACCAGTTCTTTGTTCCTCGCACACACATGCAGTGACGTGGGTGAAATTCGGCGCTACCTTGCCTTGTAGATCACCAGGGACAGAGCCGCTCGCACCGTCAACAGCAAGTTACACATAGTGCAGCATGTCCTTCAACGGTTCGAGCTACAGCACTCCACCATACAGCCCACTCCTCTTGCCGTTGAGCATTGACTCACTGGCCCTTTTCCCGACGAGCCCTTTGAGTCCAAATGGTCCCTACGCAGAGCTTGTGGTCTACCTCATATACCTGATGGCTTGTATTCGCCTGGACCTCGGCTTTCCCCTCAGCGTCCTCTCTTGCTTGTTGCAACTGGGAGACACCGTCCTCTTCACTGGGCGACTGCTGTGAAGGTGACAAGGTTCTTGGGTACTACATCAAGCATAGGGTTTGTGCTTGGAGGGACACAGCCATTTGTGCTGACCAGTCACTGCGACTCTTCCTATGCCGACGACACGCTGACTTATCGGTCTACTCAAGGTTACTACTTCAGCTTGGGTGCTGGGGCTGTGCCGTGTAGGTCTACATGGTCGTCGTCGTCTGTGACATAGTCTGGCGCAGAAGTAGAGATCTATGCCGGTACCATGGCTGCGCAGGAGCTCCGTTATTTAACCTTCTTTCTCACCGACCTCGTTGAGCGGCCTCGCTCTGCACTGACCTTGTTCGCTGACAACATGGTCATAATTTTTTTGTGTTGCAAGCCTCGACTGGAGTGCAGAGTGAAGCACCACGATGTGAGGTATTTTCTCCTGCGAGAGCTGCAGGGATGCGACCAGGCACGATTGGACTTCATGGCCTCAGAGGCCAACACTGCAGACATCCTCATCAAGGCCCTTAGCCTGGGGACCACCATCCGTTCTGTCTGTGGTTAGGCCTTGTCGAGACAGATCCTCGTTAGATGTATTCTTGTCTCTTATCTCTTGCTGTTTGTTCATGCGTTTCTATATATTTGCGAACCCTTGAACTGGCCTTGGCTGTTTGCTTGTCCTCATACTATATGGTGACTTCATGATCAACACCGAGCTTCGTGTTGTTGCTTCTGTTGACCGGTCTTGCGATCATATGTGTTTGTTGCTCTCTTCTATTGTTCCTGACTTAGTTTTTGGGGGTGTGTCATACTGTACCTTTGTCGTTGTAGGCTGTAGTGAGGCATGCTATAGAGGGTGTAGCAATTTTAGGGTTCATACTTGTATCACCCATGCTTGCCAATCATACTATTCCACTGTTTCCGTTTATAATAATGGAGGCTTTGCCGTACGATATTTATGACCTCGAGACTGGTGGGCTGAGAAAAAGCCCTTAGGATCATTGCAAGGCTAAACTCTGGGTAGGACTTGTTGTAAATGCGGAAGCGTATAATGATAAGTCTTGAACCACCTTGCGCTGGTATGTGAGGACAAAGTAGATTGATTAATCAAAGAGATACAAGGCTTTTCATAAGAGTACAAGGAATATGAAAAGATGCAACTAGTAACTGTTTTACTGTTGCTGTTGCGGTTCGATACAGTGACGACTCGGGCAATTGCTCAATAGCGAGTCAGTTGTTTGTCCTTGCTGTCGCGCTGTACTTTGTCAGGTCAAAGGTCGCTGACCTTTGACTTTCGCGTAACCTCCAGCGGTTTCTTCACTTCTCAACCTCCAACTGTTGACTCGCCGATGCTTCGCTGTGCTTCACCTCGTTTACGACTTAGTGTTTCGACACACAACAGAAGCGTTCAAATTACTTGTTTCCAACACTCCCCTTC